TGCTGAATCAATATATTTCGGTGTAAAATGTTGAAGAAATGTTCCATTAATTAAATAAGCATGAGCAATATGCGGAACATTAAAAAGACCCCTAAAACAAAAGTATCTGTCAGTAAAGAATCATGTATTCAAAAAATCTATTTTACATTTTATTATAATTAACAAAATCCATATAATCCGGCGATCGTAGGTAAAATCCTTCATCAGAATAATCTCCCCAAAAATTACTCCAAGTCTGTCCTGGTCTTAGTAACATTGGTGCAACAACAGTTCGATTGATATTTATTAATGCAATTAATGTATCTGGATGATCAATATGAACAATTGAATCAATAACAAAGAGATAATCACATTTATCTTCTTGACATTCATGACTAAATATATTTAAAACAAAACATTCATGTCTATTTTTTCATTTAATTAAAATATACATTGCTTGTTGTCGAGCTTCACCTTCAGTCATATCATCATTGACATTCAAATATTTTACAAACTTATATTCATCTTGTTTGAATTTTTTTAAATATTGCTCCGTAATATTTTTATGATACTCAACCTAAACAAAAAATTAAGAACGTCTTTTTAGAATTTTATAAAATTTAACTTACGTGATTATGAATTAGAACACCCATACGTTGTTTTGGATAGGTAATTTTCATAATTTTTTCAAAATATTCTCGAAGAAATGGTGTAGGATATTCAATAAATAAAGCTATATAAACCATAGGCCATTTTGTAAGCTTAATAAGACAAAAGATTTTAAAAATATTTTTTAGAACATATTTATTCCTACATCATCAATTTGAGTTACATCCACTACATTTTCTTTACTTTGTAAACATCCAGTTGTTGGCGACCAAGTACGAGCAATATAATTACTTAGATAATTCAAACTTTTCTATTAGAAAAAAAGCAATTTGTAATTAATAGATAAACATAATTTGATATTACTTTGCCAGAACCATATCCTTGAATAACAGTTGGAGTTGAATTTGTCCAAGTATTGTGTACATAAACATCATCTCCATTAACAGGTAATTCAAGTTCATCAATAGCATCATTTAAATTCATAAAAATTTCAGCACCTTTATCAATTACAACTGACCATTTATTCTAAAGAGCAGAAATGCAACTATGAAAAATTAATTCTATTTTTGTTGTTATCTACTCGAGTTGTTTCATCAAGAAAAAGTTTTGTAAAAAATAATTGTTCATCTTTGATTTCATCTTGACTTGAGATCATTTCATATATATCAGATGCATATCCCATAAAACTATCAGCATTTAAAAAACGTTTTTCATTACCTTCAACCAATGGATAATCATACTAAATAAGAATTTGTATAGAATATTCATTTTTTTCAAAATAAAATAATTTATTTTTACTTTTAATTGTTCATCAGGCCAACAAACATCTTCTGCACCAAATACAATTCGAGCTGGTTTTAATGCTTCAAATTTATCAAGAACAAATTCTGATCCTTGACTAAAGATTGCATTATAAGCATCAGTAACTAGAAGAACTTTTGTTTTATCATCTTTATAACGAACAAGATTTTCTCGAAGTATCTTCATCCATTGCCCATCATCTGTCGATGATGATTGATCACGATTATAAATCTAAATAATAATATGGATTTTAAACATAAGAAGAGTTAATCGAGAATGTATAGAACTTTATTTTAAAGCCTATAGAATTATGACAACTAGTTCTACCTCATATTTAAAACCATAGACGTTCAATGATCGAATAAAACGTTGATATTCATCTGTCTTATTTGTAGCAACCGCAACAACAAGTAAATCATCTAAATAATGAATATTTTTTTCATTAATCAACGAATATTGTAGCTTACCTTTGCTAAGTGCTTGAATAGAGTAATTAAAACTAATTAGTAGAATTATAATTAATAGTTTCAACATTTTTTCTTTAATTCATAACAAAAATGATCGGTTATTGGGAGGATGTTGAGTGCCTGGATGATAATGATAGTCAATTCTATTTTTAGTAACACTTCCTTGTAGCGCTACAATCGATTTTAATATTTTCTTAATTTTAGATATTATCTAGATGTTTTCAAAAATCTTTATTTCAATTTCCTTCAAAATTTTATTCCAAAAAATATTCTTTCTACAAAATGCATAAGTGCATTAATAACTTATTATATAATCACTATAGAGAACATTTCATTCATTTTCTTTTCGTTGTTATTCATTGACGAACGTAAAAACAAAATTTTTTTTTTCCCCTAATATCTTAATATTATATCATGTCAAAATTATCTTATCCATTGTCTTTTTTTAGATCGACACTATTTAGTCGTCGTTTTCTTTCGATATCGATTAAACCAAAAAAACATGTCAGCAACCAATGGAACCATACAGCAAGATACATTAACTTCTCCGACGTCCCAAGATCCTCTTGACACTCAAAACGAAAAACCATATACTGATCAAGGAATAAATGAAAAAATTGTACAAAAAATTCGTTCTCTTATTGATATAGGCAAATTAAGTTCAACCGATATAGATAATCGTGTATGTGAACAATTACGTTCAATTCCTGATGATAGTACAGCAGTTGATTCATTATTTAATGAATTTAATAATTCCGATTTAACCGGTGTTGTCAATAAAGGTGCATTTCTATGTAATTTTATTAAACAATGGAAAATAAATAATCCACAACAAGCAAGATCAATATCTGGTGATTCATCATCAGGACAAGGTTTTGGTGATAATGCTCGTACACATAAACCTGGTCCAGATGAAGCCAAATTAAAAGTAAGAAAATTCAAAAAAAAGATTGAGATAAATAAGTTCTGTCTTTTTTCTATTTAGCTAATTGTTGACCGAACTGGATATAAAACTGAAGTCACAGCTGGTCAACGTAAATATGGTGGACCACCACCTGATGGACCAGAACGATCCGCCTATCATAGTGAAGTATGTATATAATGCTGATAGTTACTCGGATCTTTATATTTAATTATATTGATAACTAGTTTTAAATATAAACAGGATCTATGAGTGTCAAACTTGATTATTATTGCTAGTTTGATATTTACTAATTTATACATCAATATAGAATGATCTTTTATTTTTCAATAGGTTTTTATTGGTAAACTTCCACGTGAAGTATTTGAAGATGAATTAATTCCACTCTGTGAAAAAGCTGGAAAAATCTGGGATTTACGTTTAATGATTGATCCTGCATCAGGTTTCAATAAAGGTTATTGCTTTGTAACTTATTGTTCTCCAGGAGAATCATCAAAAGCATGTGAACTAGTAAGATCTTTTTTTTATTTTCAGAAAGATTTTATTTATCTAAATGTAATTTGTTTTTAGCTTAATGGTTATGAAATTCGTCCAGGAAAACCTGTTAAAGCAAATACTAGTGTAGCTAATCTTCGATTATTTATTGGCAATATACCAAAAACAAAATCTAAAGAAGAGATAAAAGAAGAATTATCAAAAGCTGTTGAAGGCGTCACAGAAGTTATTATCTATACGCCTGCTGATGAAGCTGATAAGAAGAAAAATCGTGGATTTTGTTTTGTTGATTTTGATACACATAAAAATGCTTCAGCAGCCAAAAGAAAATTAGCTAATGGACGTGCTCGAGTATGAAGAGAAGATTTTGAAAAGAAAAAGTTTTATTATAATAAAATTCTAGGTATTCAACCGTGATATTGCTGTCGATTGGGCTGATCCAGATGAAGATCCTGATGAAGATACTATGTCTCAAGTTAAAGTTTTATATGTACGAAATTTAACATCAGAAGTAACTGAGAATGATGTTAAAGATTTCTTTTTGCCATATGGAAATATTGAACGTGTACGAAAAGTTCGCGTAAGTAAAATTTTCTATAATCAAAATAAAGAAAATAAATTGTTTTAATCAATAGGATTATGCATTTGTTCATTTTGATAAACGAGAAGATGCTTTAAATGCTATGCGTGCACTTAATGGAAAAGTAAATAAATAGAAAAATAATTCAGTTATATATTATAAATTTTTCTTTTCAAAAATTTTTAGAATTTAGGTCGTAATGTAATTGAAGTTAATCTAGCTAAACCTTTAAGTGATAAACGAAAACAAGCACAAGCAAAACGTGAACAAAGAAAACCATTTGATTCAGAAGATGGTCTTGCTGAACTTCCACGAGGTAGACCACCACCATCTGGAAATTTTGGAGGATTTAATAATAATAGTTTACCGCGTGGTGGCGGTGGTGGTGGTGGACGATCTAATGATTCATTCAGTTAGTATTTATCATAGATTAATATTAGAAATATGTATATATATTTATTTTTGTTTATTTTTTTAGATGCAAATAACTTTGGTGCTTTTGCCGCAGATAATTCTATGGGTGGTAGTGGTGGCGGTGGTCCACCACCACGAGGTGGACCATCACAACGAGGCAATAATCGTGGTGGTGTAAGTAATAGAAAGAAATTTTGGTTACTCACTTGTTTTCTGATAATTTATCAATAAATTTTCTTTTTTTTTTATAGCGTACTGGTGGACCATCTGGTGGTGATCGAAATAATTTTTCAGGTAATCGCGGTGGTGGTGGATATAATTCAGGTAGCCGAGGCGGAGGTGGAAATTACAATCAAGGTAATCGTGGAGGATATAATAATAATTATCGAGGAGGTTATGGTGGACCACCACAAAATGTAAGCAAGAAAACATTTCTTTTTTTTTTCTATTGTGAAATATTAAATATATATTTTAAAGAATAATTCTGGTGGATATAATAATAATAATGGTGGTTTTAATCAAATGAATAACAGTGGCTTTAATAATCAAGGTTTGTTATTTAAGAATATTATAATTTTCATATATTAAAATGTTTTTTTTATTTAGGAGGTGGTTTCGGAGCATTCAGTGGACCATCATCGAATAACAATCAATCGTTTGGACGACCGTCGAATCAAATGGGCATGAGCAATAATGGCTTTGGCATGAATTCAATGCAGCAAAACCAACAATATGGAGGTATGAAACGACCACCGAACCAGATGAACGATGGTAATATATCGAAACGATCCCGTCCTGATACCGGATCGTGGGGAGCGATGGGCGGTGATGGTAGTGATAATTCCAATAATGGCCCACAACAACAACAGAACACCGGTGGAAATTGGTATCAAGATCAGGGCTACAACAGCTCACAGCAGCAGTCCAGTTATAGCTGGAACTGAGCTTTGTCTATAGATGATCCAGTGTGTGTGAGAGGTGAACTTTTCGAAAAGACAGTGGGCGAAAAATGAATTGTCTCTCTCTCTCTCGCTTGCTCTCCTATTCCCCTAAATTTGAAAAAAATCAAATTCATACACACACACACACACGCATACATACATATATGCATAGATATCTTCTTTTTTCTTGTTTTTCTTTTTGTTTTCTCATCAATGTTTATAAAAACTATTAACCAAAAACACCAAGAAAAAAAAACCAACAAACTTCAGAAGGAAAATTAGTGTTTTTTGTATAGTAAACAAACAAAAGACTTTTTCTTAATTCATTTGTTTATGTCTGTGTCATTCATTCTTTCTCTGTTCTGTGCTTTTTGCTTTTTGGACCAAAAGTGTTTATCGTCATTTCTCTTTCTCGATAAAAAAAAAACACGAAAAATTTTTTTTGCCAAACAACAAATAACCAATTTTTTATTTCTTTTGATTTTCATATACTTTTCAAACACAAAAAAAATTTAGTTAGAGAGGATACAAAAAGTAAAACAAAGAAAAATTAAAATATCTGGTTATGGAATATTTATTTATTTCGACGATCTATGGGAAAAATAAAAATTAAACGCAAATATATATAAATATTGGAATAATAGAAAATAAAAATAAGAAAAAAAAATTTTCATACTGGGTAAGAATGAATCATTTTCGTTCGGAGTTTTAGTATAAATTATATTTTTTATTTTAAATTAAAATTGACTAGGAAGATAGGAATATATTAGACTACATTCATGATTTTATTTCAGGGTATATCGTATTCCATCATTCGCCATATGCAATCGGTCCAGTTTTGACATGTTATACAACAGCTCCAACAGCACAAATGACGCCATCATATTATCATCCATCGATGTCAGATGTTCAAAAACTAATTCAATATGAACCAATTATGAACGAAGTTGATGATAAAAGTATGCATTTTACATGAATATTTCCAATGAAATAGTATATTATATCTTTTAGATCGAAGACAAATAATGATCTGCAATAATGAAGCAAGTTGGTCAGAGCAATGATTGATATTAATGTACATAAAATTACTTCATAACTTTGTTATTACTTCTCGGTGCTTCTCTTTGTTTTTTTTTGTTAGTATTACTACAACATTTGTAGTCATTTGTTGAATGACTATAGTGATATAAGTGATCTTATCTTGCTGATATGTCAGATACTTTTGTATCGATATTTTTGTTTTTATTCGCAGATTTTTTTTCTTGACTTTTTAACTTTGTTTTGTTTTGTTTTACTTTTTTTTATGTGAACGATACGTATTTAATATATATGGTTTGTTTTTACTGAAAAATCTTAAACAACTTATTCTTCAATTGGACAATAACTGTATAAAGATTGAATGCATAACAATATTATATGATTTTTATTTATAATCATAAATAGCGATAGCCGTTTCGCATCAGTGAAATGACATAATATTTTGATTCATGTTAGACATGTATTATTTTTATGTCTAGTAAAAAACAAAAGGATTGAAGTCATTAATATTTGTAATGACATATGCATGTATTATGAGAAAAATCGTAGTGAATTAAAAGAACGTGATTCAGTTATGAAGCAGTTTACATAGAATAATGCAGATTATTTTAAAGTTTGAAATTTGCTAGAAAATAATAAACATTTTGCTATAACAAACAGAACAATCTTATATTTTA